GAGCGCGCTCCCTGCGCTCGCTCTCGTGTGCGCGCGCACTCTCTCGCACCAACCACCTGACAGGCGCTGATGTTATCATCAGGCTGGAGGAAACGTGGGGCGCCCTCAGCACTTCTTCGAATCCTGCCCCCATTACTCGGTAGCGCCCCGATGAGGGCCTGCGCCGCCCTCGCTTCTCCCTTCCTGCCAACCATTCATCTCTCCCAGCCCAAAGGTTAGGTCCGAGGGGTGCAGAGTGAGCTGCCCTGAAATTGACCCAGTTAGAGCCTTGCAGAAAAGTTGCTTCCACCCAAGGCCACGGGTCCCCTGGGGGCTCTGCTGAGACCCCTTCCGGGATCGCAGGGCTGTCTTGTGTGTACCAGTGAGGGCGCACACGTAGGGTCCCGGCAGGGAAGGCAGAGAAACCCCCTAACCCTGCGCACTTAGTTCTCTCTGGCACATTTTACAAGAGAGGACATAGATTTGTGCTCTGCATCCTAGAAGAAGTGGTGGGTGTGAAGGTGAGCTCCGGAGGAGGTGTGATCCATGTCGGGCAAGAGACAGTTGCTTGGAGTCTGTGGGTGTGGGATACCAGGGGAGCCAAGCGGGAGATGCAAGGCTGCGGGAGGCAGCTTTCTGACAGTGCCAGTGTGCCAGCAGGCGTGGCGGAGAGGGGAAACCTACCCGTCTGGGGCACGGCGATGTTAGTAATAACAGCAGCTAAGGCTGTTCTAGTGCCGATCTATGCGTTTCCCACACATGACTTTGTTTAAGCCACCCCTCCAAATGCAAAGAGGTCACTACTTAAGATTTAAAGAACAGCAGTTCTCATAGCCAGTAAACAGAGAAGAGAGGTGGCCCAGACTGAGATCTGCCTGGCGCCTGTAAGTCCTTGTTGGCCTGGCCTAATAACACACTCCTTATCGTTGTCACATCTCATAATCTTCTCAGCCACAAAGTTCTGGACCTTAAGAACTACTTCTGCTGTATCTTATGTATTTCCTCATGCTTATGTGCTGCGTTGTCCTGGAAAAGAATTGAAGATCATTTACAAAAATACATAAACTACAAAAATAAGTGTGTGTGTGTGTGTGTGTGTGTGTGTGTGTGTGTGTGTGTGTTGAGGGATAAGGCTGATAAAATGGGGCCAGGAATGAACATTATTCTAAAAATCATGTACCAATATATACTTAAACATTAGGAAAACAGATACCAATACACACTTGTTTCAAGTGGGTCAGGCAAGAGGTCAAGTCCAAGAGGAAGACCTGTTCTCTAAGCAATAGTGGAGAGGCTACCTTAAATGTCCTTCCCCTATAATGACATTAATGACTACCTTAGATGCCATCCTAGAGCCTTCATCCAGTAGTTGACTGAAGCAGAAGCAGAGATTCACAGCTAAGACTGAGCCAAACTTCTGGAATCCAGTTGTAGAGAGGGAGGAGTGATGAGCAAAGGGGTCAAGACCATGCTGGAGAAACCCACAGAAAACAGCTGACCTGAACAAGTGGGAGATCATGACCCCATTCTGAGAGCTGGGGAACCAGCATAGGACCTTGTGAGGCCCCCTGAATGTGAGTGTCAGTTGGGGGGGGGGCAGTCTATGGGGCCTCTGGCAGTGGAACCAATATTTATCCCTAGTGCATAAATGGATGGACTTTTGGAGCCCATTTCCTATGGAGGAATACTCTCTCAGCATAGATACACAGGGGAGGGCCTAGGTCCTGCCCCAAATGATGTGACAGACTTTGATGGTTCCCCCTGGGAGGCCTCACCCTCCCTGGTGAGTGGATGGGGGGTGGGATGGGGAATCGGTGGGGGGGAAAACAAGGATGGGAGGGAGAGTGAACTGGGATTGGTATGTAAAATAAGACTTTTTAAATTAAATAAAAATTAAGAAAGAAAAAGAAAAGAAAAATGTTTGAAAAATGTGCAATTCTTGTCATGGAGCCTGGGAAGAAGTGTCTCCTGAGGGTGTGCTCCTGAACATTATGAGGCGACGGCTGCCTCAGGGTCATGCAGGATGAGGGCAACAGTGTGCAGGTTGGTGCCAGTGAGTGCCATCCTGGATGGAGTGAGGGTCTCACCTTACTTTTCTAGTAAGGATGGAATACCTGTGGCAGCTCGAGAACGCACTCACCCGAGATCGCCTATGAGTTTCTTCTGTCTACTCCTTCCTTCTCTACCCTCCTAAAAATCATACTGGCCCCATCTCCCTCTTCATCTCCCGGGCATGGAGAACTGCTGACTGGAGACCAAAGGTCTCCTTTTTTTGTATCCCATCTTGCCCTTTTGTGCTGCTGCTTCCAACTTTCTTGTCTGGTACAGACAACGCCTCTCTGACAGTCAGGCTCCATCTGGTCTTTCTTCCCACCCTCTGCAAGGCCATTCTTCCTCTTCTCACTCAGGAGCTCTTAATGAAGGTCCACGGACCCTTTACTCAGATGAGGGGCATAAGGCGTGACTCCTTCGCAATTGTACCTACATTTTTTGTACATGTTTTCCTGGGGAAAATGGTTTTACTTCCATTTGCTCTTCTCCACGATCTACACTTCAATGAAAATGGTTTACATCCGTTGGCTTTTCTGTATGATCTACACACCCAGTGAAGTGTTTCCGTGTTCTTCCTTGGCTTCAACAAGACCCACAGGACTCCTTCAAGAGTCACATTTACATCCAATACTCCCTTTTATTGTCACTTCCACTCTGTCTCCAAACCCACAAACTGGTGTGTTTTCCCGTCGTCTCTCACCAGGACATATGTCATAGAGTTGTAACTGGCCTTCCTAATTTTGAGATTTCCTTTCTCTTGAATTTTTTTAAGACCCTTTCCATGGTTATATTACCATGTTATTTCTCAGCCTCCAGATTTCACGAATTCCCTATTACCTAGAAAATAAGGTTCAGACACCATAACCTGCGTATGTTCATGTGTGGACCCTCCTGTCTGGTACCTGACTTCTTAGGTTGAATCACTCCTGATACCCGCTCCTTGCTATACACTATGAAGCACTGCACTGCATTTGGTTGTGTGCTTGCTGCTGCCTCTCATCTCTCCTGGCCTGATAAACTCCACACAACATGGAGTTTTACCCAGGGTATCTAGAATACCAGGTCACCCTAGAGGGCAGATATGGATACAGGGCACACACACCTCTCCTCAGACCTGGCCTGATGACCAGCCATGCTTGAATCTACATGGCATTGCCTAAGACTTAATCACCCTTTAAAGATGTAATTGCTAGCTACATACCCTGTGTCAGTCATATGCTGTTCTTACTACTGAGAGTCTGGGAGGGAACAAGACAGGCAAGATCCTTGTGTTCATGAGCTCCCATGTCTAGCACATGGACAGTAACCATGTCGGCAAATAAACGAACATAAATATGTTGTGACTTTAATGCTCTCTTGTCCAGGGATTGGCAATTCAATGCCAGAACACCTCTATCCTCCTGGAGATACATGGAAGTATACCTGTGGAGGCCTGCACATAGTCCCATGTACCAGTCAAGAGTTTATGGGCCTGGAAGACAAGGCCGGTGTACATGGGCATTCATCTCCTGACGGGAGTGAAGAGATGGAGAGTAGAATGGAGTCAGGTTATGTCACTCTTTGCTGACCACAGTTCTGACCCAAGGCAGAGATACTTAGGCTCATTATTTGTGTGATTGTGATGGTTGTTCTAGAGTTTGTTAATTTGTTCATTTGCTTGTGTGTATGTTTATGCATCATGTGCCTGCCCAGTGTCCTCGGAGATCAGAAGAGGGTGTTGGAGCCCACGGAACTAGAGTTATGAGCACTTGTGAGCCACTATATGGGTGCTGGGAACCAAACTCAGGTCCTCTGCAAGAGTCATAAGTCCTCTTAACCACTGAGCCATTGCTCCAGCCTCTAACCCATGGGTTTTTATTTTATTTATTGCTTTCTTAATTTTTCATATGATAAATTTTGTTCATATCCTTTCCCCTCCCCCAACTCCTTCTAGATCCTACCACACCCTACCCACCTAAATTCATGTTCTTTCTCTCTATTAAAAAAGGAAAACAAAACAAAAAGACAAAACCAAACCAAACCAAAACAAAACAATGAAGCACACACAAATCATGGCATCTATTTTTGGGTTGGCCATCTACTCCTGAGCCTGGGGCCTGCCTGGAGTGTGGTTATTAGATTCTGTGCACTCTACTGGTGGAAACTGATTTTCCTTCTCCCAGGAGGTATCACTTGCAAATAACTTCTTGGTTAGGGGTTGATCTTTGTACCCACTTTCCCTTCTGTCCTGAGATTTTCCTCTGGCTTGAACTTGTGCAGGTCTTATGTGTGCTGTCTCAGTCTCCACAGGTTCATATATGCATCAGCTTTGTTGTGTCTGGAAGATGCTTTCTTTGGAGGCATCACTATCTCTGGCTCTTACAGTCTTTTCACCTCTTTCACATAGATCCCTGTGTCTTGAATGGAGGACTTTGATAAAAAAGATTCGGTTTAGAACTGAGGACTGCAAAGTGTCCCACTCCCTGCACATTGTCACTTGCAGACCCATAAGTTTATAAGTGCCCACATTCTCTACTGTGGCTCACCTTGGACCAAGGTTAGGAGGGTGTGTCTATGTGAGAGGTGCTCACTCCTTTGCTTCTGTCTTTCAGACCTGAGTTAGAGTTGGACATTGTCCTTATATACATCAGAGGCCAAGGTAGTCTCTGTCTGGAGGAGGGCTTGGGGAGCTCCACTGCTCTGAGGTGTCTTCTCCAAAGAAGTGGTGTTGTTTGTATTTTAGTAGGTCCATGTAGCTCAAACTGGCCTTAAATTTACTATGTAGCTGAGGATGACCTTGAACTTTGACCTTTTGATCCTCCTGTCTCCATCTCCAGAGTGCTGGCATTACAGGCACCTACTGATATACCTGGCTTATGCAGTGTTGGTTTATCCAGAGCTCAATCAAGCTAGGCAGTCTTTCTACCAACTGATCTATTCCCAAGTCTTCAATGGGGGTTTTATGAAGGTTATACATAGTATTATGTTAGACCACTCCAAGTACAGATCCTAAATGTGGAAATCTATTCTTGTTTTTAGCTGCTTTGAAGATTTCTGTCTGATTCTGTGGATTTCTTTACTAGAGTCTGGCAAATTGTATTTATTTACCCCACAGAGCACATAGGCAGAAACAGTGTCTCTAAATAGTTTCAGCCTTGACTTCAGTACTTTTTAAGATGCTAAC